TCATCAGGAGAGAGGCAGAGTATGGCAGTGGGAAGGGAAGCGCTTCCCTGAGCCCCACTGGGAGGACACCGCAATCCAAGTGGCCTTTGTCCGGCATTCAAGGCCCTCTGCCATCTTGTTCTACCTCTCTTTTCAGCCTTCTCTCCCACTACTCCCCTTTCTGTGTGTACACCCAGCCACACTGTGCCCGGGATCCCCTTTATCACCACTTCTTGGCAGAGGGAGGATCTGAGCTCAGTCTCAGAAGATGGGCAAGGTCACTTGGACAGAGACGGGGAAGGAGGAAGTCCTTCGAGGTGGAGGTCTGGTGGGTAGGCCACCATGTACCCAAACTCAAGGCTCCTGAAGAAGATTCATGGCAGCAAGGGCTGGAAAGGCAGAACGGAGCAGACTGGGCCTGGAGCAGGGCCTGGAAGCTGGGCGAGGGCGGCTGGACTTTGTTCTCCAGCTGATGGGAAGCTTCGGAGTTTGGAAGTGATGCTGCTCCAGTGCTACTGATGAAAATGTGAACCTAGGGCATCTCAGGAAAGGCGGCAGCGGTGGCAACAGAAAACAGGAGACAGAAATGGAGGTACCATCAAGGGAGAGGCGCAGGCCCTGGGGTCGACCGGGGCTGACGAGAACTGAACGGCCGACAGCTTTCCCGGCGGGTGACCGGTCCCACTGCAGAAACAAGTGGCACGTCACCAAGACAAGGAGGTTGGACGGTTTTTGGCAGGGAGGGGAGGGTGGTGGGCAATGGCCTAGGATGCAGTGGGCGGCCTTGGTGTCTTCAATGCCGGCCTAGGCTCTAAGCTCAGAGTGACAGACTTGGTCAGAGAGACCTGGGTTCGGGTGCTTACACACTGTGTGACCCTGGATAAGTCATTTAATTTCTAGGGAGCCTGGCTTCCTGCTCAATAGAACACAGGGTTGGACTCTAACTCAGAAGGACTCTGAGGGCAGAGAGTGGAGGGGTGAGGGGGACGGACCACACGCACAGCCAACTGAAGTTCGGGAGGCATAGAGACCCAGGCCAAGTGCTCTTCAAGGAGCAGGAGGATTCAGAAAGGAAGCAAGAGAAGCGAGTCACTCCTGAGCTTGAGAGAAGGCCTGCGCACACCTGGGAAGGGCAGGAGTGTGTACTTTGAAGGCACTTTGTCCATTTGGGCTCGACCTTGGCGCTGTGAAGGGAAGCAATCTGAAAGCGGCTGGATTCGGACTAAGGAGGGCCTTCAATGTCAGGGTAATAGGGAGCCACTCCAGTTTACTGAGGAAGAGGGCGACGTGGTCATTGCAGACTGGCCTATGAGGAAAACCGAGAGGAAAACTGAGGCAGGAAAGCCCTGAGGACATTAGCGCTGTGAGGAATGAGAAACAGGAAGACTCGAGAAACACTTGAGAAGAATGAAGAATTAAGAGAAAGACTTGACACAAACCGGTCAGAGTACAGGCTGAATAGCCAGGAAAGCAATTCGTGCTTGACTCCGAGGGGGGAAACAGAACGACCGCCGCCATAAGGAACGCTCTCGTGGACCAGACTGCTCCAGCGTGGCTCCTCGCAGAGCCAGGGCACCATGGGTGCTGCGCTGCATAGACCATCAGATACAGCCGCCGAGCTATCCCTTTGGACAACATCTATAGGGAGCTCTGGAACCTTAAATCGCTTTGTAAATGCCAGCTCTTATGATCAATATTACTCATTTTACGGAACCACTTTTCTTTCTCTTTTTAAAATCTTTGCTCTAAGGGTTGGCTGGCTGTGGTATGTATGTGTGGGGTACATGCAGAAATACATTCAGAAATGATGGTGAAGTAAAAGCAAAAGACATTTTGAAAAGAATTTGATTTTTAAAAAAGTTAATATAATAGAAAAATAAATAGAAATAAATAAAATAAACAGAAAAATTAAAGCTATGTTTGCCAAGGATGCCCTACAGCTCTGCACCCTTTCATTCTCTGGCACAGTTCTGGGAGGAGGGGGCCCATGGCGGCCCAGGAATTGTTAAGACTCAGGACAAGTCCCGCTTTGCGCCTCAGTACAAGTCAGTAAATGATAAGAGTCCGTGTAATAAGGACCTCCCAGGACTGTGAGGCAAACACTCTGGAAACCTTCAAGTGATCAGAAATGCGGGTTATCAGTATCACAGCAGAGAAGCAGCGAGCTCACGCCACCAAGCCCCGCCTGACAGAGCAGTCCTTCCTTCCAAAGTCAAACCGATGCTTCCCTTAGGAGGGGCAGGAGGCCGTGGGAGGAAGGAGGGAGCCGCGGCCACCAAGCCTCAGAACCAAGTACTGCTTCACCAAGTCTGACAACTGTAACCTAAGCCTCCACACTATGTGTTTATATTGGTTTTGCTTAATAGGAAAAAGATTTTGCTTTTGCCTGGGGTTCCCATGCTCCTGGGTGGCTGCAGCAGGTCTGGAAAGCACGCCCCTCTTCTTTTTCACATTAATAAGGTTTTTAAGATGTTTTTGGCAAATTGGCAAGAAGAATGTGTGCAGCTCGTAATTGGTGATTTAAATGCAATCACGAACAAATAAATGCCTGTTCCTATCTCATTATTTATGAACCGAACCTGCTTCAAGACAAAATTACTCTCCTTGGGAAGTAGCCAAGTGTAAACACATCTGAAGTCTTCATTTTCATCATGAGCCGCCAACGTATGCGTTCTCGCCAAACCTGCCTCTTTGGAGGTACTATGTATCAAAAAGGCTTGGGGGAATCCACGGGATCTGATGGGTACCTTTCCCGCAGAGCGGCTGCTCATCTCGGGAGCCACAAAACCCACGTCGATTTTAAATTCCACAAGCGGCAGTACGAGTGATGGACCCTGGAAAGGAGAGCCTTTCCAAACAAAGAAGGGAGTCATTTCTCGTAAATATAAAGCTTCTCCGCACCCATCAGGAATCTTGACCACTCTCTGAACTTTCTCGCCCCACACCCGCTCTTTCGCTCGCAGAAATCTGGCTTCTGGACCACCTACTTCAGCGTCACTGTTCTCTCTAAGGTCACTGGGAACCCCCAAATCACCAAACCAATGATACGCACGGGCCCCTTCCACTTAAGTGTGGATGGTGGCAGAGTGGGAGAAGAGGGGGTTCAGGGGCCATCTGGAAACTACCCCAAATGTGTCAATGATGGGGCACACTACTGAAGGGGCTTGAAAAGCCTGCTGTACATCCAAGGAAGGAGACTGGCTCACAGGTTTTCACTGGAGAGGTAAATAGGTGCTGGCAGAGTCACTTGGATTGTGCCATCATTTCATAGGCCATCCGGTCATCTTGTAGGGGGCAGCACTCCTGGTAAGTACCCATCAAAAGGCCGCCATGAAAATTATCGTAGCTAAAGTGCCACCATTCGGTCCTGAGGAGGGGAAGTTCCACACAGAACTCGGTAAGATAAATACCCATACATGTGTGTTCTCACGCTTGCTGACTTCCATGTAGAGGTGCACATAAGAAAGGATGGCACAAAACCCCAACATGCTGGAAATGTTCAAATGCCCCTCCCCCTCCCCTGGGGGATCTAGCTGGCCAACGAAGTTGAAGCTGTCAGACAAGGTGGAGAGCTTCATTTGTTTTGCATAACTCTACTTTGCAACAAGGGAGGGATTACCGGAAAGTGTCAGCAATGGAAAGAACAGCGAATAAAACGATGTTTCTAAAAGCGAGGAAGGAGAGAGGCCAAGGACTGCAGACCACAGGGAGGCCGTGATACTCAGAAAACAATCAGCAGCAGCAGACGAGCCAAGCACCAGATAACCCCCTCCCCCAGTGAGATGGACTGGACTGTAACAAAGAGGAAGTCCCTCGGCCGATGTAAATAAGCTGCCATCACAAGGGGATGGAGAAGGCCCTGGAAGCTCCTTCAGTAAGAAACGCCGGGTCCTTTGCCAATCAGAGAGGTACGCAGCCAAGAGCAACACCAGGGTGTAATAGAAACTTGTCTGTAAACCCTTCAGCAAAGGACGGGGGAGAATTATGAACCATCCGTCCTGTGAAACAGAGAAGTGGGGAAGCAAAGGGGGAAAGAGGCTCGGCAAGGCCATCTGGAAGGCACTTGGGGATGAAGCTGGAAGGAAGACGACAAAGCGAAGGAAGAGAGGGCGGACTGCCAGAGTGTCTGATTCTATGGTCAGACCCAGGCGTATTCTCAAGGACGTGGAAATGGTGGAAATGGGAAAACTGAGACGGGAACAGGCACTGGACCAGACTAGGAACAGACAGAACAGCACAACGGTGAGGACAGTGAGGAGCCATTCTCGCGTGCCCAAAAGAGAAGAACCGAAATCTCAAATCTCATCACTGCCGAAGAAGAGGCTATGCACCCATAGTTGACTTTCCCGTCCACGTACGACTTTTATAAGCACATGTCACACGCACCCACTGAGGGCAGCCTCGAAGGGGGAGCAGAAGGGACCAGGCAAGGTGTCACTGCAGGCCCCTCTCCACCATCACACAGTTGGCTGCATGATGAAGACCCTATGGGACAACACATTCGTCCGTTATAAAAACGCAAACTGCTGCCTTAAACGCTCCCCCTTCAATGATGGGTCTCCCATGCATGTGTCGGAACTACACAAGATTCCTTGAGAGATACAACAGACATAACTAGGTTTAATGACTCCGATTATTGGCCCTGTCCCCATCCTTCTCCAAGATCTTGCTCCATCAGCAGTTCTGAAAACTATCTTAACAGACGGAACAGCCTCTACTTGGGATTCTACTTCCTTACCCCACCCTCACTCCTTAGCTCCTGAAGGTGTTCACCATTGTCAGAGACTAGGCAGTGTTCAAAGGATCTGAGGGTACCAAAGGAGCACAGATTCACTAAGCACTAAGTAGAGAAGAAGAGAGGAGCGCTTCTGTCTCTAGCTGACACCTCCCGCATGCACAGGGATCGTCTGGAAAGCAGGCTTTTCTCCGCAGCAAATGGGGCCTGCCCTTGGGACTGGCTGTAAAGAACTCAAATGGTCCACCTTCCCCTCATGTCAAGGTCATAGGTCTGGAGTTCTTACCTCATCCATGCCCTTCCCAGGCACTGCCAGGAGCCAGCATCCCTGGGTCCCTTCGGTGAGGACGGATCCTTTACAGAAGCCTACGCTGTCCAGGGACAGGGAATCCACTGGGGCATTTCTGCCCTCTGCGAGGTCCCACAGACACAGCTTTAGGTCTCGTCCTTGGCTGCAAAATTAAAAAATACTTACATTATAGTATAGTTTAGTATAGTACAGTATAGCATACTTCAGCATGGAATTTGACCTTTAAGGTTCAGGAAATTTCTAAAATCTGAAAGGGCCGCATCTCGTTACAAATCTGATACACTCACAATGCTTTAAGGTTGAGAAAGTGTGTTCCTCACAAGAACTTGGTGACATATGAAGCACGTGGATTATTATTCCCATTTACAGATGAAGAAACTGAGGTTCAGAAGATAGAATTTAATTGCCCCAAGGGCACACAGCTAGCAAACGGATTCCAAGTCAGGTGAAGGAAAAGTTTTGAGATTTGCTTCACAATGGCAAAGGAAAAAGAACTCCGATCTACAGCAGCTCTCCCTGTGGTGGTAAAGAACTGAGCACTGAGGGGATGCCTGCCCACTGGGGAATGGCTGAGCAAGTTGCAGTAAATGACTGTAATGCTCTGCTGCTGTGCTGTCAGAAGTAACGAGGGAGACAGTTCCAGAAGAACCTTAGGAAGACTTACACGAACGGATGCAAAGTGCCATGAGCAGAGCCAGGAGGACACGTACACAGCGACAGCAACATCGTAACGATGGTCAACTGTGAATGACTCAGCTGCTCTGATCATTATGTTATCTAGCTGGGGCAAACTGAAGTGTGGTTTTTTTCCTTTCTTTTTCTTTTTCTCTTTTTTTTTGGGGGGGGGAGGCAGCATGGCTAATACAGACATTTGTTTTGCATAAAAAAGGTTTCTGTGCTTTAAAAAACCTCAATCTGCCCCCAAGCCCATCAGCTCCTTCTCTGGAGGCAGGCAGCACGTTCCATCGCGAGTCCTCTGCAACGGTGCCTGGCCGTTACGTTGATCTTCAAAGTTGTTTGTCTTTACAAGACTGTCACTACATAAACTGTCCTGGTTCTGCTCCCTTCCCTCTGCACCAGCTCATACAGGGATGCTACAAAGGACCCTGGCGAGGGAAATCTCTTTGCACGGTCACCAAAGGACGGGTCTTAAAAAATCCCACTTCTCTGTGAGACAAGCAACTCCTTGATTTTAAAGATGAAGAAACGGAGGCTGGAGTCTCCCTGCCTGCCATTGCCTCCCTCTGAGGGTTGCTATGAAGATGCGATGGACTGCAGGGTGAGGAGGCTTATGGGAGGGAGACCAAGTAGGAGCCCACACAAGATGGTCGGGTCTTCAACTTGCGTGGTAGCTGAGGGGAGGGACGGGATGTGACAGTGAGGAGTTGAGGATGACGCTCTATAACCTCAGGTTACCAGATGGAAAGTAGGAAAAGCAGGGAAGTCTGAAAGAGGGGCGGGTGTGGAGGGGAAAGTGTGCCTAGAGGACATCCAGTGTGAAATAGTGAATGGGCAACTGGTGTCGTCTGCCTGGAGCTCAGGAGACAGCCAGGCTCTGTATCTGTCAGGGTCATGGCGAGGGATCTCTATCTGCAAAGAGATGGCCCTTACACCCATTAGCTGGAGGTCTGGTTCTGACACTTCACTTCTCAGGCCTCAGTTTCCTCATCCATAAAATGGGGTTACTGATCCTTGTCCACAGCAGAAAAAAAATACCAGACTTGTCAAAAGAACACGTGGGCTTGCTTCCCAGCTCTGGCGTGTCCTTCCCCTCATCTATGGATGACCTTGGTAAATCACTTGCCCTTTGCTTACCTCATTCTCCTCATCCTGAAAACAGAGATAACAGACTCACAGGCTGGCAGGATAGGAAGGAATTGCAGTGATCATCTGGGCCAACTCTCTAAAATTTTTTTCATTACATTTTTTAAAATTAACAAGCATTTATTTCTCTCCCTTACACTCCCTGCCCAATGAAAAAAGAAAAAAAAACTCTTGTAACAGAGAGAGGCACAGCCAAGCAAAATAAATCTGCCCCATTGGCCTCGTCCAAAAACGTTCGTCTCATTCTGTACCTCAGATCCATCACTTCTCTGTCGGGAGAAGCCACCCCCTGGTTTGACGGATGCAGAAGCTGAGGCCCAGAGTGTCCCTGACTCCCGGAGGCTGATGGGAAGATGACGTCTAATCAGCCATGAAGCGTCCCAGAAATGGAAGAGCCTCCTCCTCAAGCCTGGGGCTCCTGAACGACCCTCCCCCTTCACCTGCCACGAGTCCTCTTTCCAGCGCGTGCTGCCTGGCCCCAAATCCCGGTTCTCGTCCCCAGCCTCCACCTCAGCCTCCGACCGCCTTCTCTGCTGAGCGGCTGGGCTCCATCCTCTGCCCTAAGGTCCATTCTGCACGGTGACCCTTGCCAGACTGACCTTCCTGAAAGGGCGAGGAGTAACGGACTCTGTCGAGCTGTCCGAGCACTGGCCACCTTTATCCGAGCCACGACCCAGCAGTGGAAGGCGGACCCTGGCTGAATTTGGTCCCAGGTCCATCCCTTGTAAGGTCTGTCTTTGCTGCTGTTCAGTCATTGCAGTCATGTCTGACCCTCGGGGACCCCAATCTTGGTAGACATCCTGGAGCGGTTTGCCATTTCCTTCTCCAGCTCATATTACAGATGAGGAAACTGAGGCAGACAGGGTAAAGTGACTCGCTCAGGCTCACACAGCTAGTGAGTGTCTGATTTGAACCCGGCTCTTCCTGACTCCAGGGCTGGTGCTCTATCCAGTGCACCACCTTTCCCATCTGCAAAGTGAGGCCAATACCTTAACGACTCCCTCAGTAACTTGGATCGCATGGCTGCAGCAGGCTGACTCCTGGTGACAACCCTGCGAGGTCGGGGGGGGACAAAGGCAACCACGCCATTTTATAGGGAAGTTGAGTCTTTGCCATTACCTGCCCTGCCCTTGGGCATTTCTGTCAGAATCTGAACTCAGTTCTCTTGACTGTGTGATATAGGAGGTGGAAGGCCGATGGTTCTAGCTTCAGATCTTGACTCTGCCACTGAAACAGTTGTGAGATGCTGGGCAGGTCATTGCCCTTTCTCTGAGCCTTGGTTTCCTCCTCTCTAAAGGCCACCATTCTTTCCCGGGCCCCTCAGAGGTGCCATGTTTCGTGGTAACCCATGAAAGGCGACCCCCGGGTTCCAGGTGCCGACGGCAAAGGCACTTTGTAAACACTGCCCTGGGACATTCTTTTTAAAACGGCCCAACTTTCAGACACTCGGATTGTTAACAAATGGGATGTGGTCGACTTGGAAGGCAACACAATCCCCAGAGACTTTTCTTAGGACAATCGGACTGCACCTGAAAATTCCAAGTGTTGCTCGGCCCCGTGTGACAAATGCCAAGAGGACTGAGTCACCCTCCAAGTGCCGAGCCTGACCGAGCAGCCCCCGATCTCGTCTCTTGCGGTTGGACGACGGGCACTTGTGGCCAAGGGCCCTCGGCACATGCTGTGTGCACATTCCACCCTGCAGAGCTAGCAGAACCGCCGCACCCACGAGGGGCGACCTCTTTCCAAATATTTGCTCCCAGAGGTTTCCTCTTGCAGAGAATTTGAGCCTCCACACTTGGCACTCCCTCCTCACTAAAGCACGAGGGCCTGCCTGCAGGTGCACATCCAGGGCAGGCAATGTGCTCCAAGAGTCATTCGGCTGCCCCGCCAACACCGGGCACAGGGACGCGCCGGGCACGTGGCACAGCCAGGTGCAGAGCACCTCCCCCAGCCCAGCAGCAACTGCAACACCAGGCGTGAGGAGATGTAGGCCTGAGCCTGGGTGGGGGCAGGGTCGGAGGAGAGAAGCAGGCGCACAGAAGCCATGCTGAGAAGGTCTAATCAACAGGCCTTGACCAGAGATTGTACACGGGACGTGAGAGAGTGGAGGGCTGAGGATAACCTGGAGGTTTCAGACCCGGGTGACTGGAGGATGGCGGTCCTCTCCCTGGTAACAGGGAAGGCCAGAAGTGGGAGGGTGTGGGGGGAGGAGCCAATACTCTGCTTTGCAGACATTGAGTCTGAGCTGCCTAGACCTTGTCTAGCTTGAATGTAAAGTAAGCAGGGTGATATGGGGCTGGGGCTCTGGGGAGACGTCAGGGCTGGACAGATAAATCCAGGCATCATCTGTGTAGGGATAGCAATCGAACTCAGGAGAACCAATGAGATCGTCCAACGAGAAGAGCACAGGGGGAGAATGAAGAGGACCTGGGACCGGGCCTTGGGGATGCCCAGAGTGAAGGCATTCGATGTGGATCAAGACTGAGGAGGAGCTAAGGTTGGCCAAGGAGGAGGACCAAGAGAGACCCATGAGGCGGCACTGATCAGTGGTGTCAAGGGCACCGGAGAGGTCCGGAGAGATTCCGAGGACCGCAGAGGGCAGGGTCAGCTGAGTGACATGGGAGTCAGGAAAGACGGCGAGGAGATGAAGCCGAGTCACAGAGATGGATGGCCTTTCCAGGGGTCTAGCTGAGAAGGGGAGAGGAGACACTGAATAACGGTAGTGGGGCGTGAGGCAGTGAAAGCTCTCAGGATGGGGGAGGTGCGTGCACGTACGAGCAGCAGAGGAGGCGTCCACGAGCACGGAGAGCTGAAGAGCAGAGGAAGGAGGGGTAACAGTGGTGTCAGTGAGCCGCTGAAGAAAGGAGGGGATGGGAGCGAGGGCACAGACAGAGGGGTTGGTCTGGGCAAGGAGAAGGTCCACTTCACTGAGAGGACACCCGCCAAGGTGATCAGCATGGCAACCCACTGACCCAAGAGTGAATCACCCCAGGCCCAAGCACAGACGCTGGGGCCCTCACCGGCGACCTCTGGGCACTCCGATGCTGCACCACCAATGATTAGTCTGGGCACGGCTCCAAATGCCCCTATCAGCACCTACTATCTCAGTCTAACCCGGCATCAATGGGCAACTGCTCCTTCCTTGGACTTGTCCCATGTCAGACTCCCCAGAGGCCTGAGCTGGAAAGCTGAGGTCTATTCCAGTCCCCTCATTTCATGGATGGGGACACAGGAGAAAAGAGGAGACCGGCTCAATGTCATGTGACATTGGGTTTCCTGATTCCCAGCCTGGGCCTTGGAGCGCCGAGGCCACTACAC